GGCGCGACACTGAGGGTTGCGATCTGTTGCCAGTCACAAAAAAAGACAAAAAGACAAAAAATAAAATAAAATAAAATAAAGGATAAAGAACTAAATATAATGCTATTCCAACAAGGAAAAAAAGAAAAAAGAAAAAGAAAGTATATGATCAGATTAACTGATAAAACAGAACCAACCTGCTGCTAAACCCCTGGAGAAGGCCCTGTAAAGGAGAAGTGAAGTGTTATCCCTAATAATGGAATGAGAGGCATCAAAGGGCAGGGAACTAACTAAAGGACTGCTGGGAAAGTGATTAGCTTGGCCAATTCAGCACTCCAGCCCTGAGCTTGGAGCAACACACAGAATTTACCCCCACTGCAGCAATATTTACCCCCACTGAAGAATATGAGTGCGGGGCTGGAGGGAGGCCAGGGCACAGCCTGCAGGAACACTGGCCTCAGTTGTCATGGAGGAAAAAACAACTGAAAAGATCCTAGTCATTCATTTCTATTTATGAATAAAGGAAAAAGGGCTGATTCATATAGCTGACCAGTATGTGTTTCCTCTACTGTTCTCCTTGTGGGATGTGGGCTAGCCGTGCACTCTGAGGGTGGTGCACTCACACACACTTCACTCCTTGGCAGAGTGTGCTCTCCATACCTACAACCACTCACTCAGAGGAAACTCACACCACTAGCCCCTTATGCAAATCAACTTCCTCTCCCATTCCAAAACAGGAATGGACAGTCAAGAATTACTAGATGTAGAATAAGAACCAAAAAGTGAAGGGAAGGCACACCAAACCAAAATCTGAGACAGAAATTAGTGTCCTTGGGGGAAATTGAGAGGCTGTTGTACCCATGAGACAATAACAGATTACAATAAAAAAGGAACAATCCAAAAGTAAAAAACTTGAAATTCAAAAACATGGTTGCCAAAAGAAGGGCCTACCACCAAAGACAGAATTAGTGAACTGCTGGGCCAAGGGCATCTTCCCCTGAATAAGGAGCAAAACCACTGAGAAATGGGAAAATATGAGAAAAATAGTTCAATTCACATAGTATAGATCTGGCAGGTCTGTGGTGGACTGTGGTAGCTATTGCTTTCCCACCTGCTCCTTCAGGAGACAGATCCTCCTCCCCACTTGTCGCCCCCACCAGGGGAAGGGGTGGGCACATGACCCAAAGGGACCAATCAGGGCCTATCTCTGGAGNCCCACCAGGGGAAGGGGTGGGCACATGACCCAAAGGGACCAATCAGGGCCTATCTCTGGAGAAAGTAGTTTCACTTTTCACAGAGGTTGTTAAGCTGGGAGTGAGTGAGTTGGAGCTCTAAGTGGCCCCTCCCCAAGGCAGAGAGGCTAAGGGCCTTGCCAATAGGAGAGAGAAAAGCCAACAGAGAGAGAGAAGCAGAGTTGAGGTTTGGGGCTGGGATGGAGGTCGGGAAGAGGGAAGGAGGGTGGAGAGTGAGAGAAAGTGGAAGACCAGACAAAGGACTCAGCAAGGCAGCAATGCCATTGTATGAGCTGATGCTTTCTCTTTTTTGCCTAAGTTGTTTACAACTGTGTTTCCATCACTTGCAACTGTCAACACTCTGATAATACAAGGTCCTTTCAGAAGAAAGAACAGAGACAGGAAAAGAAAGAAAATAAGCAAAGACTTAATAGAAGCTGTTTTCCCTGAAGGAAAGTCAGTCTTAGCTTTCATATTTAAGTCTCACGAAGTGCCCTGAAGTACCAGTGTGAAAAAGACTCATACCTAGACCCGTTCTGGTAATCACAGAAAAGTACATTTGATTGACCATCAGATAGCCAAAGTTTAAAAGTCAGATAATACTTGTCATTGTGAGAGTGTGAGGTAGTGGGTAGTCTCATACGCTGAGGGTGGAAGTATAAAAGGGCACAGGCTTTTTGGAGGAGAATTCAAGGGTATCCATAAAGATTTTAAATGAGCACTTAAATGTTGTTAAAATAAAACACAAAATATATGCACAAATCACTATGAGACATACATACAGTTTAAAGAATAATAATAAAAAGACCAATGTACCACCCGCACCCAGCTTAAGAAACAAAATATTACCACCAGCCAGCTTAAGAAAATGAGTATGAGACATACATACAGTTTAAAGAATAATAATAAAAAGACCTATGTACCACCCGCACCCAGCTTAAGAAACAAAATATTACCACCAGCCAGCTTAAGAAAATGAATATTTTGCTTCAAAATAATTTGGAAAGGGTGGGGAGAAGTGGATGGGGGTATACGAATAAAACAATATTTGAGGTGAGTTGATAATTATTGAAGGTAACTGATGAGTATATGGGGGCTTATTATACTAGTCTTTCCATTTTTATACATGTGATCAATTCTTCTCTAGAAAGAAAGAGGGAGGGGAGGAGAGGAGGGAGAAAGAAAGAAAAGGAATATTATATCTTTGAAACCTCCAGTGTGTTCCTTCCAGAATACAATGGTATTTGCTCATTTAAATATGCCACGAATTTTTTGTGTCCATTCTCCTGTTGAGGAACATTGGTTGTGTCTAGGTCTTCACTGTTATGAACAGTCCAGCTATGCGCAGTCCTACATGAGCACGTGACCCCCACTGCACATGTGTGTCTGGTAGTATATTTGGAAGGGCAAATGCTGGGCCACAGGGTATACCCATGTTTAACCTTACTAAGAAACACTAAAATGTTTTCAAAAGTGGTTGTACTAATTTAAATTCCTTCAGCACACACAACCCAGAAAGATACACCCTATAATATTATCAGCGAATTATGTCTATGTAATGGATTTGGGGTCATCTTAATTTTCTTTTCTGTAATTTCCAAATTTTATAGATTAAACATGTATCAATAGTTTTAAATTCAGAAATTTCTCTAGATAAATACATAATTACACATAATATAAATTAATATACCGTGAATATGCATAAGGTCTGTTGTAATGGTTCTTCCCACTCCCCCCTTTACCTCCAGGCCCCGTTTTCCACCTCCAGCTCCAGGACGGTCTGCAGACTCTGGCAGTGCAAGGCCTCCAAGGTGACGTTCACTCTGCACTCCCCCAGAGGGGGAAGCTGGCCGCAGGAAGGCTCAATGTCGAAGGGAGATACCTGATCAGAAGGCCAATCCGGAAGGTTGAGGTTGAGGACACTTGGACTGCAGAGGAACTCGAGGCTGGCCATGCCCAACCAGGGTGGCCCCCAAGCTGCCCCCAGCTCTTCAAGAGCCATCTAGGATCCATAAGGAGGCAAGCAGGTGGGAGACCACAGCTGTGCAAGTCTCAGGCTCAAGAGGGCAGAAATNACGCTGAGGGTGGAAGTATAAAAGGGCACAGGCTTTTTGGAGGAGAATTCAAGGGTATCCATAAAGATTTTAAATGAGCACTTAAATGTTGTTAAAATAAAACACAAAATATATGCACAAATCAGTATGAGACATACATACAGTTTAAAGAATAATAATAAAAAGACCTATGTACCACCCGCACCCAGCTTAAGAAACAAAATATTACCACCAGCCAGCTTAAGAAAATGAATATTTTGCTTCAAAATAATTTGGAAAGGGTGGGGAGAAGTGGATGGGGGTATACGAATAAAACAATATTTGAGGTGAGTTGATAATTATTGAAGGTAACTGATGAGTATATGGGGGCTTATTATACTAGTCTTTCCATTTTTATACATGTGATCAATTCTTCTCTAGAAAGAAAGAGGGAGGGGAGGAGAGGAGGGAGAAAGAAAGAAAAGGAATATTATATCTTTGAAACCTCCAGTGTGTTCCTTCCAGAATACAATGGTATTTGCTCATTTAAATATGCCACGAATTTTTTGTGTCCATTCTCCTGTTGAGGAACATTGGTTGTGTCTAGGTCTTCACTGTTATGAACAGTCCAGCTATGCGCAGTCCTACATGAGCACGTGACCCCCACTGCACATGTGTGTCTGGTAGTATATTTGGAAGGGCAAATGCTGGGCCACAGGGTATACCCATGTTTAACCTTACTAAGAAACACTAAAATGTTTTCAAAAGTGGTTGTACTAATTTAAATTCCTTCAGCACACACAACCCAGAAAGATACACCCTATAATATTATCAGCGAATTATGTCTATGTAATGGATTTGGGGTCATCTTAATTTTCTTTTCTGTAATTTCCAAATTTTATAGATTAAACATGTATCAATAGTTTTAAATTCAGAAATTTCTCTAGATAAATACATAATTACACATAATATAAATTAATATACCGTGAATATGCATAAGGTCTGTTGTAATGGTTCTTCCCACTCCCCCCTTTACCTCCAGGCCCCGTTTTCCACCTCCAGCTCCAGGACGGTCTGCAGACTCTGGCAGTGCAAGGCCTCCAAGGTGACGTTCACTCTGCACTCCCCCAGAGGGGGAAGCTGGCCGCAGGAAGGCTCAATGTCGAAGGGAGATACCTGATCAGAAGGCCAATCCGGAAGGTTGAGGTTGAGGACACTTGGACTGCAGAGGAACTCGAGGCTGGCCATGCCCAACCAGGGTGGCCCCCAAGCTGCCCCCAGCTCTTCAAGAGCCATCTAGGATCCATAAGGAGGCAAGCAGGTGGGAGACCACAGCTGTGCAAGTCTCAGGCTCAAGAGGGCAGAAATCAAGTCTCCACGTAAAGGAATAAACAAGCTGGAGGTCCCTGAGCCCTGGCCCAGATCTGAGAGGTAGAAGGCACGGGAGGGAGGCGCCCCAGGGGAGTGGGGGGGGAAGGTGAAGACTTCGGCTAGGGAGCAGGAAGAGAGCCTGTGAGCCATTGGGGGAATGCGGAGCAGTGTCCCTCTGAGCAGGCATGGGTCAGGACCCTGACAGTTTCTACTGAAGAAAACCATCAGGTCACCAGACAGGGGGAGGGGATAAGCTGCCATGTAGCCCCAGATATCCCCTTTGTACCTACCCGGTCTTTCCTCCAGCCCCTCACCATACCCCCCACTGCAGGCTTGGACTCATTCCCTCCAGAAGGTCTGCCCCTCCCCCCATACCAGGCACACAGGCAAAGGGAGAGGGGCAGGAAAAAACTGAGGAAGAAAAGTGTCTGCATCTGGGGAGGGCTCTCCGCATTCCGTCCTTCCTGTCCTTGACTGAGAGAATGGCATTTGCCTGACTGAATAGCCCTGGGGCCCCAGATGGGCCACACTGTCTAGTGGGGGTTTCGCTGGACACAGAAAGGGCACACCAGGAGGGGCGTTATCCCTCTCTTTGGTCTCTCCCTTCTGCAGTGGCCTGGGGTGCCCTGTGGGCGGGGCTAGCCCTCTCCCACCCACCCCACCC